TCCCAGCACTGGGGAGGGGAAGACAGATGGATCCCTACAGATCACTGGACAAACAGCGTAGCTGAACTTATGAATACCAGGTCCAGTGAGAGACCATGTCTCAAAAGATAAAGTGGAGGGCAAATGAAGACTCCTGACATTGGCCTTGGTTTTCACACACACACACACACACACACACACACACACACACGCACGCACGCACGCACGCACGCACGCACGCACGCGCGCGCGCACGCGCGCGCGCATATACACATACTTAAATGAGCATCAACACATGCCACACACATGCATCAACTAAAATAAACAGACATTTGCATTCAGGTTACCTGCTATGACTGGTACCAGCTACAAGGCTAAGTTATCTTGAGGATGGTGGTCCCAATACTAACACTGTGCTGATCCACATCTCTGGTTTCCAAGCCCTCTCCAATCTTAAATCTCAACTCAAGTTCTAAAAATTCAGTGATCCTTGAATTAAGGGCATTCCTCTAACTGGGTGGAAAAAGTAACATTCTAAGAATGCTGACCAACTGTTCACCAGCTTCATTTAAGGAAACACAAGACCAAATGTGTTTAAACTACTTCAGGCAAGTTAAGGCAGAAATAGACTAATGATGCCTGCATGGCTGGGCTAGCGATGCTGAAGCTAAGTTCTGGAAGGATACTGGGATGGTCCCTTGTGTGGGAGGTGCTCAACCATGAATTAAAATTTTGCTCATATAGTTCTGGATTGTAAATAAAATGATGTGCCCAGGTGCCAATAGTCTCTCCCAGTTCCAAGTCAAAAGCAATCAGGAAATAGCAGGAAATAGTGGTGTGCTGGAAAGGAAATACTGCTGAGTGATACATCCCTGCTCAACAAGAGTTAATAAGGAAAACTCTCCCTTTAGAACCACGACAGCTCAGGCAGAGTGCCTGCCACCAGCCACCTTCTCTCTACAGCAGCATTCTGGTTGGAAGAGAGCAACATGGCACTCCATTCTTGAGAGACACATAGACACTTGATTTGTGTGTTTCAAGTTCTCTTAAAGTTTATTTTTGTTTCTGAAACCATAAGACCTGACTGTGGTCCCTGAATTGGAGCAACCATGTTAGTGTGCAGAAAAAGTGAAATGAGCAAACAGCGAAAAACCAAAACTAAACAAGCAAATACACACACACCACACTCACACACATACACCACACATGCACCCCCACACCCCCACATACACACATACATACAG